TAAAATGGTCCCACAGCTTCCTCTAGTATAAACTGCTTTTCAATTAACTCAACTGCTCCTACAAAACTAGTCATACCCTCCCATGTTATCCTGACCGCTGTAGCCAGTCCCATAGCAACCACTCACTGACTAGCTCTCTAGGCCACTATAGGTGGCCTGGGCAGCAGACACACCCATACCCCCATGAGAGTTCATATTGAGATTGGCCCAGATGGAAGAGTGACAGGAGAGGCTGATGTTGAGTTTGCTACCCATGAAGAAGCTGTGGCAATGTCAAAAGACAGGGCTAACGTGCAGCACAGATACATAGAACTCTTCCTGAATTCAACCACAGGGACCAGCCACAGGTTTTATAGCAGCCAGGTGGTGCAGGAAATGGTGTGTCTGTTTTGTTTTTTCTTCTCAATACTAGCACTCTACTATTTGAGTCACAGCTCTGCTTCTGATTTTTTTGCTAATTGAGGTAAAAGCCTCATGGACTTGGTTGCCTATGCTGGCCTAGAACCATGACCCTCAGATCTCAGCTTTCTGAGTAGCTAGGATTAATTTTATTTACCTTTAATTAAAAAAAAAATTAGAGCCTGGTGCCAGTGGCTCACACCTGTAATCCTAGCTACTCAGGAGGCTGAGATAGATCTGTGGATTGTGTTTCAGAGCCAGCCTGGCCAGGAAAGTCCATGAGACTCTTTATCTCCAGAAAACCAGAAGTGGTGCCGTGGCTCAAGTGGTAGAGTGCTCACTTTATGCTGAAGAGCTCAGAGACAGCACCCAGGCCCAGAGTTCAAGCCCTAGGACCGGTCAAAAAAAAAAAAAGTAGAAAATACACCACTTCAAGACTAGAAACATGGGTAGAAACAGGCTACCCAGCAAGTACAAAACCCTGTTTTAGTAGAGTAGAATAAACCACTTGCATATACCACTTGTGTGTGTTGGAGGGCGGAGATTATTTGTTTTGCTCTTTGAGACAAGGTCTTATGGTACAGTCCAAGCTTGTCTTATCCCAAGTACTTAGATTACAGGTGTGTATTACCATATCTAGCTTAAGGTACCACCAAACCAGGTTTAACTATGCCCCCCCCTTTTTTTGGTCGGACATAGGTCTTGAAATCTGGGCCTAGGTGCTGTCCCTGAGCAATTCAGCTCAAGGTGAGCATGCTACCATTTGAGCCACAGCACCACTTATGGTTTTCTAGTGGTTAATTGGAGTTAAGAATCACGTACTTTCCTGCCTCGGCTGGCTTTGAACTGTGACCCTCAAATCTCAGCCTCCTGAGTAGCTAGGATTATAGGTGTAAGCAACCAGCACCTGGCTTGACCTTATTTTATATGAACTCAGTTTTATCTCTTTTTTTTGGGTCGGTTGTTGGGCTTAAACTCTGGGCCTGGGTGTTGTCCCTAAGCTCTTCAGCTCAAGGCAAGCGCTCTACCGCTTGAGCCACAGCGCCACTTCCAGTTTTTTGGTGGTTTTATTGGAGATAAGAGTCTCACAGACTTTCTTGCCAGGCTGGCTTTGAACCACCATCCTCAGATCTCAGCCTCCTGAGTAGTAGGATTACAAGTGTGAGCCACCGGCACCCAGCCTCAGTTTTACCTTTAAAGGAATATTCACTTAAAACAACAACAACAACAACAAAAAAAACAGGCATTCTGCTAAGCACTTATAAATTGTTGTGTAAATTTTCTTAACCTGTGAGTTGCTGCTAGTGTCCTCAATTTTGCAAATAATAAAACTTGAGATGTAGAGGTTAAGCTTATTGCCCCAGATTCCACACTTAATAAATGCACCTCGTAATCTATCTGCAAATGGTGGCTAGTTAGCATCTGACATCTGAATCCAAAGTAGCTTTGACCAAAGTACCCCATCATTAACTCAAGACAATGATAGATAGGGATTTATGGTAGTTTAGTCATTTTCTCCTTGTTTGGTAGTCAGAGGTTGTACATCTCAAGGCCATCCCTCTTAATAAGATTTAGAATGGATATTATACTTTTAAAAAGAAGTAAATGGTGTAGAGTTGCGGTAAGAATTTCCTGATGACTGACCACTGGCATGTTCTTAGGAAAATTTGAGAAAAAAACTTTTTGTACAAGCTGAAAATCAATTTTTAGTAGAAATTGTGGTAAAGTACTGTAGAAAGTCTAAATTGGAGCCAGGCATACGTAGCTGATGGCTCAGTGGTAGCTGCTACTCTGAAGGCTAAGACCTGGAAGCCTGAAGCCTTCCACTCTTACCTCTAAAGTAGCCAACAAAAAAGTAGTGTGGGGCCAGGCGCTGGTGGCTCACGCCTGTAATCCTAGCTACTCAGGAGGCTGAGATCTGAGGATCGCGGTTCAAAGCCAGCCCGGGCAGGAAAGACCGTG